CCCGGATGTTCGTCGACGCCATTCTCAACAAACGGCTCCAAAGTGTCGACAATTACAGTGAGTTCTGTCTGAAGGATGTCATGAGATATGCGCCCAAAGAGGAGGTGAAGACCTATCAGGAAGAGCTCGTGAAGAGCGCCGACTATAAGGAGCGAGAGATCGCACAACTGTACGGACAGTTCGCTCAGCACTCCTTCCCCTCGCAGTACATGACTGCCCACTCATTCGTCGAGTACCTGACCAAAGCTGGTCTGCCGGCGACCGACGCTCCCCTAGTCATCGACCCCTGGAGTCTGTTTCGCGCCTTCACTCAATGCAAGCCTTTCATGACTTTTCATGAGTTCCTGTTTGGTCTGTGCGCTCTCGAGGCTCGTGTAGTACACGGCGGACACACCGGTGAACTGCGCGCCACTTTCATGTACTACTATTACGTGAAACTCGAGGACAAAGACCTGGGAATGGACTCCGAGGCCATCAGTCGCGTGGTTCAGGACGTGAAGCGATCGGTCGGTCAGACACTGGAGGGCACAGCTCTGGAGGAAGAGGTGCGACGAACCTATCAGGCGATCGGACTGGAGATGAGTCAGAAGATCACATCCAAAGTGTTCGTCAAAAGCATTGGCGACAAGAAGTTGACGGTCAGACACTGGAGGGCACAGCTCTGGAGGAAGAGGTGCGACGAACCTATCAGGCGATCGGACTGGAGATGAGTCAGAAGATCACATCCAAAGTGTTCGTCAAAAGCATTGGCGACAAGAAGTTGAGGGGAACCGCGAAACTGTTGCGCTCTTCGGCCTCGCCTTTGGAACAGTTGCGACTCAAACCGGTCTACGAAATGATTGCTCTCCAGAAACAAACGCCGGAAGCGATGGCACAACAGAGCGATGGTACGGCCGGCCCCTCCATTCCGGGCACTTGTATGCGTTGCCGCCAAAAGAAGTACACTTTGGCCGCGCATTCGGTTAAACTGTCGAGAGATGGACTGGTGGTCGACCCGCACGAGAACCGCAACCAATCAGATGTCCAGCGAATGGGCAAAAGTCTGCGCCGAATGTCAGACCAGTGTTTCGTCGGCTCCACCACTGCTAACGTCTTACTCGACATCCTTAGAGCCTATGGCAAGTCGGCGGCCGTTAGTGGACAGGGAGTCAGTGGTGGAGGACAGGCAGGTGCGGGCACTCGCGGGCAGATTGTGGACTGGGGTCAGAGGAATGAACGCCAGGGTCTGGTGGAGCGCATCGACCGACTGTTATCTCAGGCGGAACTGGTGTTTAAGGGAGAGTCGCGTGTAGTGCGGGTGTCATCGCCGGTGTATGTCTTGGGCGACATCCACGGCAACCTCCACGACATTATGGTATACGAGCGCTCGTTGTGGAAGATGGGACCGACATGTTTGGGCCAATCCTTCCTCTTTCTGGGCGATTATGTGGACAGAGGAGAGCACAGCGTTGAGTGCATTCTCTACCTCTTGTGCCACAAAGTCTTGTGTCCCCAGAAGTATTGGCTCCTCCGCGGCAATCATGAGCTCCGATCAGTCAATCAGAGCTTCACTTTCAGGAATGAATGCCTCGAGAAGTTCGGCGAAAGTGTTGGACAGAAGTTGTGGGAGAAGTTCAACACAGTCTTCGATTGGATGCCCATCTGCGCCGTCATCGATGAGTCGATATACTGCGCCCACGGAGGCATTCCCACCGGCGCCACCACCATCGACGAGCTCTACGCCATACCGGTGCCACTCAAGGAGGCTGAGGGCGAGTCGCCCATCGCGTGGCAGATCTTGTGGAACGACCCGATCACCAATCAGGAGTTCCGCGACTATCAGCAATCCATGCCTCCGGAACCGTCCGCTTCCAATCAGACCAGTGTCAGCAGCACTACCACCAGTCCTAGCGGTGCCACTGCGGCCTCCAATGTCACCGGATTCCTGCCCAACACCAAGAGGGGCACCGCCTTCTACTTCAGTGAACAGGCGCTCAACCG